CTTTCCCTTGTCTATCAACCATAAATTCAAATATTACCAATGAAAAAATTGTACTTAAACCCAGACTCCTGCAAGCTCCAAACATGTATGAAGTATTGTGAAACAATGGAAATGCAAAATATTCTGGAAGACTTGTCGTCTATTGGAATTTCTAGATATACTAATTTAGACTTCTGATTTTACAAAAGAAACATGTTCTTTCCAAGAATACAGTTCTACAAAGCAGCTATTACAAAATATTTTCGATCTGAGTAACAAAAGATTATTTTTATGTGAACAAATCTGGGATTCCAAAGAACTGAGCACGTGATAACACAACTGAGTCAAACGTGTGCAACCATCCGCAACAGATGAGTAGAAAAACAGTGACGGCCATATTCTAGTCTGTGACAGGGAAATCTGGTGAGACGAATAACGAAAATGACAAAAGAAATGACCAGAGGCAAAGCAGAAAGTCTGTGGGTTTTAAGCAGTCTCTAATTTTTAATTAAGGCAACATTCTTTGTGACTTGACACGCAGCGTTTTTTCTTTTGTTTTAAGCTGTTGTCTCCTCAATCTCTCAACAAGCGAATCCCATCTTCCAAGCAGCCAGCAGGAAACTGCTAGGCTAAGGTGAGGGATGTAATCACAGAGGGCAGCGCGTGAGGACCACGTGTTGAACGAATGTTGCACGTTTAAAAACACCAGCTATCATTCCAGCTTCTGAGGGAGCAGTACGTACCTCTATGCACTCCTTCACACTTCAGTCATGCACTACGGTAAAAGTTACCATTAAGCACTCAGATTTCCTTCTCAAGGAGAAGTACTGACAATAACAGTGCATTCACAACTACCCCTTTTTTGTTACATGTTATTTTTTCTAAGATAAATTTTTAAGCATGAAGAGTTCCGTGCATGACATCTTTAATTGTAAGTTGCTAATTATGTACTTATAGTACAGGAAGAAATGCTTGAAAATTAATGAGTAGATAACAACGGTAAATAATAAGTCAGTCATGCTTGCTTTTGTTCCAGGTCTTAAAGACAAACAGAGGAGTTTTTAGTTCTGTTATTAAAAACAGCACTTGCTGTTATATCTCTAAGGCTTCCAACCATAGTCTTTAGATCAGACTGGAGATAACACCATGCCATAATTTTAAATATTTCAGAAAGGGGGCGGGGGGGAGGGGGGGGAAAGATGCATTCAACTACATCACCAAAGCTTGTGTGTATGCGGGTATTAAAATCTGTAGCTTTTCCTGAAAGTTTTGATATGAATAAAGAAATCTCCAGTGTTGTAGAATCTCTGAGAACACATTCTGTACTACTTCAGCAAGGATGAAGTATTTTTTTAAAAACTTATGCATTCTTATTTAATATGTTATGTTAAAATGCTTTGTAGTACTTCATATGCTATGTTTAAATTCTAAGCTAAACAAATCCTATTTCCAGAGCAATCAAAACTACCCCTATGAAGGTTGTATTTCCAGGAAAAGTTAAATATCACCAACTTAGAAGTGTATTTTGTTCTTTGTGTATATACCCATTAACTCTGATGAGACAGTATATTGGGAGAGATTTACATGAATAAACCCAGAAACTCATGAACTTAAACAACCCCTTTAATATAACAAACATATTCAACTTTCAAATATAAACTGGAACGAGCTAACAAAAAAGAAATTCAAAGCAACTTTCTGAATGCCAAAAAGGGCTTATGCAAAACAGTGCACATTTATTTGAGGTATCGTATCCATGAAAACAAACCAAAACAAACCCAACTATCTACATTTAAAAAGAATTTTTACTTAGCAAGGCAAAAGAAGTTAGGTGGCACATACAGAGTAAACAGATGTAAACAGTGTAAAAGTACAGAAAGTTAATACCCACCAATCCAAAACTTTGGTTATGAAAACTGAAATAATCCAATATATTAAAGAAAAATAAACCAGAGGCATGCAAAATATTATTTGTTAAAACACACTCATCTATGTGTCTAAGTGAAAGTCAGAAGCTAGTGGGATGGATTTAGAAATGTAGTTTTTCTTTATTTTCCTTAGATTGATTGTCATTCAATTTTCCACTAAAGTGGAATGGCTGATGAAAAGCTTTCAGCCTTCTTCAACCCACTGGTAACTGAATTTTTGAAGACTCCAAAGGGGTGTTGCAAAGGAGGTTTAGGTAATTGTGTTGTTACAATATAGCATGATACACAACCTCACTCAAATGCTACAAGCAAATGGTGCATGACCTGTTACCACTCTGGAAGGCAAAAGCTTGGAGAACAGTTGAGTTGCTCCAGATGGAATTGAAAGAATTTTTTTTTGAGTTTCTCCTCACAAGAGCACTGACAAACTCCAAGATAAATCAGGTAAGCCACTTAACATTTTATTTGCAACACAGAACATTTTGGCAATCAAGATATATTTGAGGAATCTGAATAGTGACCTGCCGTGCACGTGCTTTTCAAAAAAATCAAGTTTTGTTTCAGATCCACATCAGGAGCCTAAACAGCACAAGGCTTTGCGCGCTGAAGCAACCGTACTGATGCCATCCATCTTAGATGCACCTACAGGTCTTTCTTGTCTTCTGCGTCATTTAAACTGTCCTGAAAAGAGACAGATGAAAAACATTTTTTAATGTTTGTCAAGATCAGAAACCGTTGATTCCAGACGCCACATTTTGCCTCCTTGCAGTCATACCCGATTTGTTCACTATACACCCTGCAAAGTTGTAGTCCCATCAATACTACCCCAAATAACACGTGCATTTCTGATCCTAGCACAGGAACAGCCACGCAGCCTGCTTCTGTTCCCTGTTCACATTAAAGCTGAACTGAGCAGCAAACGTAACAGAAAACACTTTCTGCTATCAACTGATTTATCCTTCAGAGTTGCATCTTACTGTGTGCTCAGTACCTTTGTCTTTTCCATTCAGAGGTAAACACAGAAAACTGTAAGCATGTGTGTTCTAGACCACAAGACTGTTAGAAATGCAGCAGGACTACTACAGCTTATGACACAGGGAAGCACAACGAAGATAGGACAGGCATGGTGCTCTTAACTCAAACACAGAGATCCACTGAGCAATCCCTATAAATAGGGTGAGGCTAGGAATCAGTAGGTGGCTTCACAGAATAAGGAAAAAGATAACCAGCCCAAATTTGCCTTTTAAATATTTTTTTTTTTTTACTAATACAGGACCAAAACCCAGCTCTTCTTGAAAAGCAGGTCACCATAATTTTAACATCAATAATTTATTTTCTCCCAAGATCATTACTTGTAAGCAGGCTAACTTTCATTTTTATTGAATTTTAGTTGAACTCTGAGACAGTCGTTAGGCATGGAACATACGAACACTTGCCAGACAACTTAAAGAACAGGCAGACTCCCAGTTCTACCATAAACAATTACTGTATATATTACAGGTATTACAGCCATGTGCATATGCAAACTCAAACTGCTAATTCAGTTTTTGCTTGCTATGGTTCTTTTTTTTTTTAATTTTGTACTTCAGTTTGAATTTTTATAGTAGCCTGTACTTAGCCTAGGATGTTTGTTCTTGGGTTTGGTGGTGTGTTTTTTTTTTTCTTATATATCAACAGTATTGCAACATTTACAATCCAGTATTGCAAAAGCATGTTTAAAGACCAAACAAAATAAGATTACTCTTATAAATGATGTGTATACTACACACACACACTACTCCTATCATTTTCTTACAAGATTTCAGTTTGATCATCACATGCAAAACTAACTGAATCTCATTTCCCAAGCAACAGCAAAATCAAGTCCAACAATGACCTGAGTTTTGTCACCTGAAGCGAAAAAAAAAAACGCTAATAGCTTTGCCATCCAGTCCTTGAAAAACAAAATTCTACTATTTTGATGACGTTTAAGGAGCGCTGCCCATTGTAACTTTATGCCACAATAAAGATTTTGATGAATTCTCTTGCATAATAAATACCCAACAAGCAGAGTTTTGCTGGTACAATTTCCAAAGATCATGCTCGTATAGTGATCCAGAACTACCTACCTGAAGTCGTTCATATTCTTTCATCAGTTGATCATACTCCTTTTTAAGGCCTTCAGACTGCTTTTTAACTGAAGTCACTTCAATATTTGCCTTGTGGAGAGCTGTAAAATATAAGAATTAGTTTTTAATTATTACTTGTATTCCTACAGTTCCTCAGAGCCCTAGTTGTGCATTAGGGCTCCACTGCACTAGACAATCCTTCCTCTAAAAAAGCTTGAATTTAAAACAAAGCATCACAGATGGACACAGGAAGAGATGTGCAGGACGGGGAGGGGAAAGAGAATGACTCATCTTCAGGAAGAGCAGCACGAGGAAGAGGAAAGGGCTGTAAGAAAGGCAAAGGCAAGACCAATAAGCTGTTAACAGAGGTGAAAAGTTAGTGATGACTACATTGTTCTGTCACATTGCAGAAGACAGTTCCAGAAAAGCAAAACTCTACAACTCCAAAACCAAAACTGTCGGCCCTCTTAAAACAAAGAGGAAACTCAAACACTTGGCAAGATTTTAGCAAAGCAACTGAGGCTGTCTATGAAACATGGGGAAAAAGAGAGAGAGAACACATTATCACAGGAGCATAGATGCCTCCATTTCACTCTGTGACATATTTTACCACGCACGAGAAGTATCACTTTATGGATGAGGAGGCAGAAATGGTGGTGGCAGGATATAAAACCATGAACAGGTTTTTAACATGAGAAAAAGTAATTATTATTCTACTCACAATCTCAACAGCAATAAACTGAGAGCATGTCTATGCTGCAGTACAAAACAGCCCAGGACTCCATAGGGGCTAATTTACAATGCAGGGTAAATCAGCATAAAGTTTCATAAAGCCCTTTCTCTTAAGCTGTTATGTAAGCATTCAAGTAAGGCCATTTAGACATTTTTATACTCCTTTGCTATAGGTATCTCAGGTATCTTTATATTTCTCTGCTGTAGCAGCACAGGTATAATTTAAAACTTGATTTATTCATGCTAGAACAGAAAAACATTGTTAATGACCTATAAGGCTGCCTCACATAGCCATATTTAAAAAACAAATGTCAATGGTACAAACAAAAAAGAAATATTTGAAATTATCCTTGTTCCAAAAATGTGGATCTATCGTTTGACTGTAAGCTAAACTGTTTCTTTCCCAGAGACCTCCAAGACAGTCAATAATTGCAGCACCTCTGTAAGAGCCTGTTCTCAAAAGATGAGCTAGATGTGGTTTTTGTTAAGCACCTCACTATAAGGACTCTCATCTGAACCGTGCTTCTTTTTGGGTGCTAGTTCCTGAAATATCAGGACACAAGAGATTTGACCACTTTCCTACATGCAAAAACGAAGACACCCTCCCCCAGCATTTCTGCTATTTTAAATAAATCAATCTGAATGTAGAAATTCCAAATCATTCTCATTTTAAAAGTGTGCAAGTGGTTTTCCAGTAATAGGAGTTCTACCTAGTCTGAAATTCTGGTCTACTGAAGTTAATTACACTTATGACTATTGATTCCAACATGGTCAAAAATTCATCCCATCTCTTCACGTCCTTTCTTCCATTTCCATACTCTTACACAGATATCCTTCATCCTTTAATGCATTCTTGACAGCATCAACACAAAAACCATTTTCTGAAGGTTCCGGTATTTGGAATAACCATGATTTCCAACATCTGCCAAGTCAAACCCAATTGCATTTACTCTTTCTCTGATCTTGCTACTGTTCAAAATATTCAACACTAAAATTTGGAACTCACTCAAATAAACTTGTAACAATTTGATAAGCTTCTGAATTTTAAGTTGCAGATAAACATGCATACGTCATTTCACCTCTTGAAGCATCTGCTAATTAGAAAGTCTTGTTTAAACATTCTTGTACACAGTTACAATAAAAATTATTATTATTATTAATATCTAATTTCTGAAGAAGTCGTAACTCAATGTTAAGGATCTAACACTATTTAGCTGTTCACAAGCAGCAGCATAGTACTTTAGTTGCAACTATAAGTTACTATATCTTTAAAAGATTAACAAAATATCTAAAAGTAACTGCAAATCAAGAAAGCAAACAAGCCTCGGCACTGTTTCAATGTTTTGACCAAAACAGATGTATGAGGGAAATACTTCACCTAACACTAGACGAAGAAAAAGCGAAGAACAGATTGTCCTTTACACCAGTGTTGGCTATGGACAAAAAAGTCTCCACCAAAACCCCAAAACCAAATCCAGACTCATTCCTGTTGGGGCCACACAATAGAGAGAAGCATCTCATCTTTGACAATGTGAATCGTCCAGCGTGCCGACTTCTCTGGATGTCTTTTTGTCAAGTAACGGAGATCATCCGTACATCCCTGCTCGACTACTTTACATCACTGCTCAACTATTTTGCCATTGCACGAATACTGCAGTGCAACCAAGGCAATCATGCAGGTACGTAAGAATCATAGAACGGTTTGGGTTGGAAGGGACCTCAAAGATCATCTAGTTCCAACCCCCCTGCCATGTGCAGGGACACCCTCCACTACACCAGGTTGCTCAAAGCCTCATCCAACCTGCCCTTGAACAGTTCCAGGGATGGGGCATCTACAACTTCTCTGGGCAACCTGGTCCAGTGTTTCACCACCCTCATTATAAAAAATTTCTTCCTTATATCCAAAGTCTACCCTCTTTCAGTTTAAAGTCATTACCCCTTGTCCTATCACAACACACCCTTGTAAAAAAAAATATTGTTTGTCATATGGCTTATATCATATGAACACTGACCCAGCAGAAAACAGAAGATCCTTTGTGTACACAATACAGTCAGTTTCTATTTCAGGCTTCCATCTGGCCTGTTACTTGCCTCACAGGAGACAAACAGCTGGACTGGCAGCAAGCAAAACCTTGCAGCTGATTGTTCCTACCAAGTAAATGGATGAGTAGGTGGGGAGGGTGAGAATGCTGCTTCTACATTAATGCAACTAATGTGAGGCATCATCAAAGTCTCCAAACTGGAATCCAGCCTCAGTACTGTGAGAGGTGGGCTATTCTTTTTCATTTCTTCCCTTTCCCTTCAAAGAAAAAAAAAAATTCTTAGGGCAGTATATCAACAGAAGGCATTTATGGAAAACTTTATCCCTTTACACTTAAGGTGTGACAGGAGCTCCTTAAACTACGGTAACATGTACAGTCTGGGAGAAGCAGCAAACTTGTCTTTCCCTTACCACATTCTCTATATGCTGTTCCAGGATAGATAGTTTACTTCAGATTCCTCTGAAGTCAAAGCAAGATGGGGACTAAAATCACTCTGAAGAGGTTTCCACAGCCCAGTAGCTGTAGCATTTCTATTATCTTCTCATTTCAACAAGGACGGAGAACCAAACAGTAAAACAAAACCAAATAGGAACAAAAGCAGCCAATGATTCTTTGGGCATTTCCCTGCACAACTACTAGTCCTGGTCTGACTAAATCACTTGACTTACAGTGCTTGCTACTAAGGAAACGATCTGGAACTTAAATTAGCATTGCTCACAATGTAAGTCTAAACCCCAAATAATTTGGACTAGTTTAACACTAAGATAGATCCCTCTCTTTTAAGAGTCTTCAAGTTGAGAAAAAACTATTCACATTTAAGCATTTAGGCACTGACGAGACGAAAGATTTGTCAACAACTATGTTGTAAAGCTGGGAACAGAACTCCAGTCGAGTAATTCCACACTAATTCTAAATTCTCTTCTTAAGATGTAATGGTCAGATAAAGTTTAAAAAGAGAAGGCAGGGACAAAATGTTATACACAAATTTGCTCCAAGTACCTTGTGCAACCTCAAAATTTTGTTAGAAAAGAGATGTTACAGCATCTTCAGATGGTATAAAGGGCCTTGTATAACAAACCCATGCTTGCTGTATGCAGCATCATCCCTCTGAATCAACAAACATGAATATCAACCCTTCTTGTATGTGACATTGTACAATAGCTCCCACCAAGGTTATGATCTCACAGTTAAAAAGTAAGGTTAAGCAAGGTGGACTTTGTTTCTAAACCTCCCTCTGCCATCTGCTAAATATCATGAGACCATGGCCAATTCTTTTAACTTGTATCTCCTACTCCCAACTTCCAAAACAAAGCTGATAGTTTGGGGTTCTGGGGTGATTTTTTTTATTTGTTTGTTTTTAAAAACTAGAGTGCTATGATGGACATCAACATATATATAGTTTTCATACACAGCACTAGCCTGCCTGGCAACACAGAGGCAGAGTTGAACTCTCCCTGGCAGTCCTATGAAACATATTCCCAATGTTTGTATTTACATCTTTTTAACAAGAGTTGTACATCTGTACATGCATACTTTCTAGAATAGTGAACAATTAAAAGCTATTTCAGAATCTGCCCTCTGCATAAATTGTTGCTCTCTTACTGTCTCCTTCAACACTACGCAACCATGAAACAAAAAGCACTCTTGTGACACATTCCGTACACAAAACAAACCTCATTAAAGGATGCATGAAAGTTTCTTCCAAATTTCCTACTGCCCCACTGTATGTCTATGACAACACTATATAAATAGAGAGTATTCTCAGAAAAAGTTGAACTAAAGTTCAAGAGCACCTAAGTGACTTTGGTGAGTCAGTACACACTTCCCAAATTGAAATCCTAATGGCAGAGACCAAAAAAGGGTCTTTGGGTTTTGTCTTGATGCAGCACTACAGACAGCTCAAAGACACAACAAGGTCACAGCTCAATAACTGCACACAGGTGCTGGGGAACACAGTGCCTGTTATGCTACATCAGACACAGGCAGAAGCTTTAGGTACACGTGATTCACCATGAAATATTATTAGAAGAGTGAGGGATCAACAAGCTGAACAGGAGTCTGCCACCCGCGTGTTCTGCCACAAGACTTGACCAATACTAGCTGTTCTGTATAAATTTCTGTTGTGTAAATGAAGCTGCAGCCTTTACTATACACTAGGACAGCATCATCAAAAAAATGACCTGAGAGAGAAAGTGAAATAGTACAGCATGGCAGAAGTCTCCCTCCTGCCCAAAGGGTCCCATCATAACAAATGGACATTTCACACATCAGCATTTCCACAGTGTGGGATCTGTGAGCAAGAAAAAGTTAATACACCAAAAGTCCCGTTTCTGCCACCAACTCAAGGACTGCTCTAAGGGCAGCTGCTTTATAAAACTTCTCTCAGGCTCTGACCTCATGACCAGGTGCAGATAGCTTTTTTGCTGTAGCTTTTTGGGTAATTTTCAAAGCTATCAAAATGAAACAATATCATCGCATTTCTTCTTTCCCCAGAAAATTCTATAGGTCTGAGACCAGCAGCCATACTGAGAGCCTTTAATTATGTGAATCACCATTTTGTTAGAAGTATATCTGTGTCACAGGAGAAACATTCTCACATCTGCAGTGAGTGCTCCTAGGAGTATGTATATTATTTCCAGGTACCAGTGAGACACTTCTCATAATACACAAGTGTTATCAACAAAACACCATCTCAGAAGGCTTCTTAACAGTCATGTTATTACATGTCCAGGTATGCTAAAAATGGATTTAGGCTCTGAAAGTGCTAGCCCCACTGCTGGGTGCCTATAAAACCCCCAGTATGTGGGTCTGCAATAAAGTAGTGAAGAACTAACCCCCTTTTCTTCACTTCCACGATAAAGCAAAAAAGGACATCAAGGGGGACAGGAAAGTCAAGTACGAAAAGAAAAAAAAAAAATGGCTGAAATCTTTTTCACTCATTTCTAACTTTTCCTCAGACTTCAGTAATTTCATTACTCAGTCTCTTTGTCTTGTATTTTCATTCTTCCTCCTCCCCTGCCCAAAGCACAGTAGATGGCAAAACGTCTTCTTAACTTAGGATTTCACTTACGGTTAAGCAGACAAAAAAAAATGATGTAGACTGTGTTTCCTGTAAAAGATAGAAAGCTGAAGAACTAGAGATGCATCTCCTGAAAGTCTGCAATACTCACTGTCTACACTATAATTTCAGTCAGAATTTCAGAAAGAGGAGACATACACTATTTTATCTGCCAGAATTTGTAAACAGTGGATCCAAACCTTACAGAAAATTTGGATCTCCCCTGAAGTCAGAACACTAATCTGATACTAAACTGTGTTATTTAAACATGAAGCAGACTTCATGAAGCAGACTTACATTTAGGATTCTTCCTGGGCGTCACTCTATGAGGCAACGCACCTTTCAACACATGGCCTACTGTAAAGCAATATATCGCCCTATCGCCAGGCGTGAGTAGCTCAACAAGTGTGCCAGACCAGAGAAATGGATATTGGAAACTGCTCTGTGAAAAACATCATGCTTGGTTTTTTTATCCAAGCAGCAAAAAACCCAAAACCCCAACCAAATAAGAACACAATTTCTGACTCTGATATTATAGATGAAAAATAAAAAACCAACCCCCCCAAAAACCAAACTAGTGAAGTTTTCCTTTTTATACTAGTTTTACTTTGTTTCATTACTAGATGACAGCCCCCCACACTCTTCACTCCCTCTTCCCTCCAAAATACCCCCTAAATTTCATGGATTGGACTTTGTGGACACAAAGGACAGGTTACTTTAGTCATGTGAGCTCAGTGGCATGAAACAAATTGTTAAGAAGTGGTAAAACTAGCTTCTCAGTCTCAACTTGGATACTGTGTAATGCACCGCTCATACTTAGCAAACATGAAACTCAACATTCACTTGCTCAGTTGCAGAAGCTTCAAAAGACAACAGTAAATTTGATTCACATTAGATCTCTAACAATCCATAAAAAGCTGTGTCTACAGATGTGGCTGCTATCAAGTACTTTAAGCTTTCTGGCTATCAATTTGCTCAAAATAATGTAAAAGAAAGCTTATAAAAAAAGACAGATATACCTTAACACAGCTGACGATGGTAATTAATGTAACCATGGGCTTTGCTGCTCTGGCAATGAGGGGGATGGCATCAGGGGAAGGGTTGAAAATATTTTCCTATTCATTCCTTAAAAAGACCCTCTCCCCTACTTTACCCCTAACAAAAGAAAGACTCAAGCATGCCTTAATTTATACATCTTTTGGATGGACAACAGCCCACAGGGAGAATGCAGCTGAAGCAGCATGTGGCAAATCTATTCCTTAGCTTTCTCTAGCATTCCTCACTGAAAAGCTTACATTATATTAGTGTTACATACCACTGGTTAGTTTAAATACAACATATGCATTTACGTTTTTCATTGATCCTGTCACTTCAAAGGCAGTTTTCCCCCCTTCCTTTAAGAAAACAGCAGGAGAGGGAAAACCCACAATCAAACCTGCCTAAGAATGTGAACTAATGAGATCCTCTATTTAAAGATTGTTGTTGCTTTGAACACGGCTGAAAACAGCTGTTCTGCTGTTCTTATTCATCTTCCCAGTGGACAATGAAAAATGATTAATAAAATACTTGTTATTTTTACAGCTTTATAGCAGGGCCATGCAATGTGAAAGCAGGGCTGTGTTTTGATGACAACACGTTATCTGGTACCATGAAAACGTGTATTTTGTTACAGTCTGAATATCTGATTAATGCTTACAAGGTCACAGGCAGTGTTATCTTAAAAACACTAATTTCAGATGAGCAAGTGTTCATAAGCATCACACACCTTGACAGATCTCAATAAGACAGAACCAAACAGGTAAAATCTGCTTCAATCTCAGTTTGGGTTCCCAAGAACGCAGTTTTGACAACACAAACCTTAAACACGGAAGCTGCTAACAAAAGTATTATGTTCTAAATTGCAAGGCGTGTTTCCTTACAGACAAAATAATATTAAAAAAAAAAGCTAACATCTCTGCTGCAGCAGATATATAGATTTAGAATACTAGTCAAGGACTTTTCTGCTATTTGACCAAAACCCTACTTTACAGAAAAAAACTCA